ACAACCATTTGTAATATTAATAATCTTTTCAACTATAGAAGGTATGTTATAAAAACATACTAGTTAATTCATGTATAATCATGTATAACCTAACAACCATTTGTAATATTAATAATCATTTCAACTCTAGAAGGTATGTTATAAAAACATACTAGTTAATTCATGTATAATCATGTATAACCTAACAACCATTTGTAATATTAATAATCATTTCAACTCTAGAAGGTATGTTATAAAAACATACTAGTTAATTCAATTTGCAGCGTAAAGCAGTGATTGAGTTTCAAATAAACACACATTTGCTAATAACATGAAAGAAAATGTACTGCTGCAAACAGAGTTCAGATCGAGCATATATTGCAACTTGATCCAAACAGTGAGAGCAACAATGTCAAAAGTTCTTCTGTGCTTTGCAATTTTCTTTCTTACCGTGTATATAGTTAACAGAACCACAGAACAAGTTATCTCTGCTACTGACAAGTATGATTTAAAATATTAAAAAATAATTTCATTTTTTAATCTTTTACTATAATTTTACTTAATTAATTTATTTACAGCTTTTTCTGTTTGGTAACTAAATGCAAGCTTTTTCAGAATTTTTTAAACTGTGCATTTTTGATTACAATTAAGGAGATGATAGTTCAATAGCAGAGAAACAGATAAATAAATGTAGCTATTTTAGGTGTTTATTTCAAGATGTGTGTTATTGATTTCATACCAGGTGCCACTTTCTGTAAAAATGATTAATTCGTGGAAAATCGCTTTTTCAAACTTGATAACTTTTACTGAAAATAAACCATTTACTACCTGGTTTACTGGGCAAAAATAGACTGTATTTTTTGTCACAACTAAAAACATTACACTCCTAACCTCAAAGTAAAAGGGGTAAGAATTTGGCCCTAGTTTTTTAATGAGTCTTTCCTGAAGCCGTGTCAATGGTTGTTTTGTTTCAGCCGCTTCTTCTTGGGGATATATCTGTGAAGAAGCTAAGTACAAGTCCTTTCGAAATGTCAGTCCTAAGACGTCCAAGTCCTCTCTGCCATATCGAAAGGCTGCCAAAACATGTCCAAACACCTTACGCTCCTTCAAGTATTCAGGATCCACTAAAATCACGCCATCTGTAGAGAAGGAAATTTAGAGAGAATATCTTATATTTTTAATAATTAAGCATAATGAAATTAAAAATCTAAAAGAGGAAATAAACAAAAACAACTAAAGGGAAAAAGAAAAAGTCAATATACTTTACCACGAGTCTTCCAATAACCGTACAAGCTGAATCAATAACCGTATCAACTGAACCAATGTAATTCACCATGAGTCTTCCAATAACTGTATCACAATATTTAACCATGAGTCTTCCATTAACTGTATCACCATATTTAACCACGAGTCTTCCAATAACTGTATCACTATATTTAACCATGAGTCTTCTAATAACTGTATCACCATATTTAACCACGAGTCTTCTAATAACTGTATCACCATATTTAACCATGAGTCTTCTAATAACTACACCAACTTAATGTATTTCACCATGAATCTTCCATATAACTGTATCATCTGAATCAGTGTATTTAACCATGAATCTTCCATATAACTGTATCATCTGAATCAGTGTATTTAACCATGAATCTTCCATATAACTGTATCATCTGAATCAGTGTATTTAACCATGAATCTTCCATATAACTGTATTTAACCAT